AAAAAAAAAAAAAAAAAAGGAATGCTTCACAAATTTGTGTGTCATCTTTGTGTAGGCGCCATGCTAATCTTCTCTGTATCATTCCAATTTTAGTGTAAGTGCTGCCAAAGCAAGCACTTGTGTATATTCTTTATATTTATACTGTCTTTGATTAAATTTGTTTACATACACTATCTCTGTATTTATTTACTTTTTCTTTCTGAAGTATTAAACATATCTATCTTTTATGTTTTTAGATCTGAAAGTGAAGGGCCGGGGATTTAGCTCTGTGATACTGGTGCCTGCCCCACAAGTGCAAGGTCCCGAGTTCAATCCCCGGAACCAAAAAAAAAAAAAAAAAAAGATCTGAAAGTGAATATTCAGAATGAGAAAAGAAATCATAACATTTATAAAGTTTAAAAAACTGAAAAATGCCATCAATGCCCACAAAATACTGTACAGAAAAATAACAATAGTTTAGTTAGTTGTTTGACATTCCCTTTTAAAACTTTCCTTTTACATTTGTGGCTGCATTATCTTTGATTGCTTCCTCATATGACAACAACTTTATAATTTTCTATAGGACAAGTAGAAAAATAATTCTCTTCTCTCTAGCATGTTTAAGCTAACTTTATTTTTTATTTTTATTAACTCATTGTTGGTAATGTACAATTTTTTAGGCAATGCTGCCAAATTAGGGAACAACAAGTTTTTTTAATTCTAAAGGTGTACACTCTGAATTGCTCTTCAAATAATTATGTCCAGGGGTAGGGATGTAGATCTGTGGCACTGTAACTGCCTGGCAAGTGCAAGGTCCTGAGTTCGATCCTTGGTACCGGAAAAAAAAAATCAAATAATTATATTTTATGGTAATGTTGTTATATTCTAATTAATTCTAGATAATCTATTTTCTTGGGAAAATCACCAATACCTACTTAGCATACTGCCACACTTGGGGAACAGTCTATACTAGAATTGAGCAGCCTGTCTGAGCCTTTGCCATTAGGACTGTTGAAAGTTGGGGCAGAAAGGAAACAGTGCTTATTCCTTGGCTGGGTCCTTTGAAGACTGGTGGCCCACCATTCGAGGTTTTGAGAAACTGTGCCCAGACCTAAGATCTACCTATGTTGCTTACATTATGCTTATGATAAAGCTTTGCCCTTCATCATGATCCAGGTCCTGCATTCTGCCAGCATGGCTCCTCAACTCAGAAGTGTGTCCATTTCTCTCTCCCGGACCCAGATCCCCAGAATCCTAGAAGGCCAAAATCTTAGTATACAGTTTACATTAAATGTAAATCCCCAAGGGAGGAGCTCATGGGCTCCTTCCTTAGTGAAGTATTCTGAGCCAGCCCAAGTTCTGATACTGACCTTCTAGCTCAGCATTTAACCATGGCAGTTCAAAACTTTGCATAGGAAGTAACTTCTGAATTTCCATTTACAACTAACATTCCACTGAAGCAGTAAATTCATTTTTCTTCAGAAGACTGAGTAAGTAAGTATTCAAAAGTACATGCTTCTACTCACAATTGCTGAAATGTGGAAGCAACCTAAATATCCCAGGTGAGTGGTTAAGAAATACAGTAGGTGGTATATATATACAATGGAATATTATTCAACCTTAAAAAGGAAATTCTGACACATACTATATCTGAATGAAACTTTGAGGACATTATGCTGAGTGATATAAGTTAATCACAAAAAGACAAATACCATATGATTCCACTTATATGAGAGAGAGTAGTGTTATAGCTTGTATCTAGATATCCCCCCAAAGCTTCATCCACTCACAGGTGGGGCTTTTCAGAGCTGGCTGGATCCAGGGTGTGTGATACTGGGATTAAGGGTGTGTGGTTCTAAATTAGTCCACTGATTGGAATTAGCATAGTTCTGGGTGTGGATAATGGAAGCCCTCACCCTGGGTGTGGGTGGCACCAATCAATAGGCTTATAGCCCTGGTGGAGGAGAGAGGTTGTGGTTTGTTGCTGCTGTTTGCTGCTTTACTGGCTCCTTCCTGCTTTTCCATGAACATTTCTCCTCTCTGATACCCCTCTGGCATGCCACCCTGCCTTGGAGCCAGCCAACTATGGATTGAAACCTCTACGGACTGTGAGCTAAATAAACCTCTCCCCCTTTAACTTTGGGTGTCGGGTATTTTGTCTCAGCAATGAAAAAGTAACTAAGACAAGTAGTCACAGAGTCAACAAGTTCAATTTGCCAAAGCTGGGGAGGTAGGGAATGGGGAGTTATTGTTTAACAGATATAGAGTTGTGATTTTACAGGGTGGAAAGAATTATGGAGGCAGATGGTGGTGATGGTTGTATGACACTGTGAATGCATTTAATGCCAGTGAACTATACACTTAAAAATGGTTAAGATAGTAATTTTTATGTTAATATGTATTTTATCACAATAAAAGAATGAAAAAAAGTACATATTACATGCCTGTGCTTTATTCCATATCTTCCAGTCAAGCAGCAGCTCTTCTAACAGTTTAACATCTTGGATTATAGCATTAGACTCTACATCCAACTTAAACTCTCCATTCTCATTGATATAAATAATCTCTTCTCTACAGCAACCCTCAAGAAGGGTCTATGGAAAATAAGCATTAATACAAGATACATTAATAACTGATTAAACAAATAATAAACAGAAACATTAAGCCTTTAACTTTAGCAGTTGTGACATTAAATTCAAAGAACAACAGCAAATAATTCAACATTTCACAAAGTATCTTTGCTTTGTAAAATAATTCAAATAGAAAATCCCAAACTTCAAATATTTTTAAGTGACTACTTGGTTTCAAACCCACATTTAAAAATTTGATTTACATAATTTAATTTCATTTAAATAGTAATTTGAATCAATTTAAATTAATCTGCTATTAGTAAAGGATTTGTGCCACAAATGTATGTGTCTTATGGTTTAAAGAGGTAGGGTAGGGGAAAAGGTAAGGAATCATCTTCTGCCTTAATAACATTACCCTCAGAGAAATACTTTCATGATGTTACCAATACTTACAGCTAGGAGGTATTTAACTATACAGAATGTCAGGATCATAACAAAAACTAACATGGACATTTGTAACTTTAAAAACTATCTGCAGTGGCACATGATGTATCTTCAGGGCTTGGAGAACTGAGTTCTCTTCCATAACTGTGGGATGGGAGTAAAGCCAACAATCTCATCAATTACAGAAGAGAGGCTGCCCTGGGGGACATTAATGGTCCATTCAGATCTAAAATTTTTTGAGTTTATTTTCTTTCTTACTTTTCTGAAATGCTTAAAAAAAAAAAGAAAATGTGATTACTTAAATGATGAAAAGAACCAGAAGAGTACCTTGGATTAATTAAATATATAGTAATGAACTACTTTCATTTTCTTCAGGAATAACTGACAATGAAACTATTAATAGGATGCTTTGATGAAAGTCTCTTTGAGAATCATTGCATAGGAACCATGATAGTAAATTGTATGAGTTTATACCTTCAAAATGTGAAAGCCAACAATGCATTTTTGTTTGATCAACACCTGATGAATCATGGAAAGTCCATTGCAAGTGTCTAATTCATGCATTCTCTGTTGGTTGTATTTAATTAAAGAGAGTATAACTCGTAGTGCTAGTGCCTGAGTTTCTTCACAGCCACTGAGTTCAACAACCTAAAAACAAAAAGAGGATATATTGTTCTTCTAATCTGTTGAGAGTAAAAATTTAATATATGTGATTATCTACCATAGTGCCATAAGCAAGTTTAGTTTCTAGGAAAGTAATTCAAAGAGTGCAACAAAGACTACTCTGACCCCTCCACACAGAAGACAGCCTGAAAGTTGAGTCAAGGCCTGGGCAGCAGGGATAAAGGGAGCTCAGGGTTGGGAGACAACCAAGAGTGGGTGAAGGTCTAAAGTGAAGTTTGTGATACATCTAAGGAGGCTGCAAGTGGCCTCTTTGACTGAAGAAGATTAGGCCGAAAGGTAGGCTACTTGTGTGAGGATTTTTTTTTTGGTACCGGGGATCAAACTCAGGACCTCGTGCTGTGCAGCTGAGCTAAATCCCTGGCCCTCATGTGAGGATTTTAAAGAAACTAAATTTTATTTTTATAGGGGAAGACGAAGAAAACAATAAAAGTTTCTAAGTTTTAAATGTGAAAATATACTTCAAAAGTTTTATTGGCAAGATCCTAAAAGTATACATGATAGAAATTTTACCATTTTCTCAAGGATCTAATCACTGTGTAACAACAGCCATAACAAGATTATATTCAATACCTAATGAAAGAGGAGAAATCAGGGATACACATTTTGAAATTACACAGTAGTATGAAAGGAGATCACAAAATGTTGATTAGGAGTTAAATGAAAAATTTCTAATTTTAAAACACCAGGGGAAAATTTAGATACCAGATGGAGAAAAAGTACTGAGAAAGAAGAAGACAAGACTGCTTACAAAGTATGGAACACTAACACCAAAAGATGATACATTTCATATTGCAAAATTAATCAAAGGCAGGCCCTGTAAAGAAAGTAAGCCAGTTAGGGAGATAGTATGAAAATTTGCTGTTTCAGAAGTTAGACTTAAAGATAAAATGGCATTCTGAGGATGAAGGAAGATAAAGGCTTTGGTTACACAAGGATATGGACCAGAGAAAATGGAACTGATTTGTACCAAAGTGAGACTATTTGTGCCCCTATTATAGATTTTAGCAATCCTTGAAATAGTTAATATGTAATTATTAACTGTTCACTCTGTATCAGAAAAGCTAGTCTCTACCCTCAAATAACTAAATAGAACAGATAATTTGTTTTAAAGTGCTACTTAAGGTCTGAGTCAAAGTTTTTGTATTTTTCCTCTTTATTAAAAAAATCTCCAGCTAGGGATTTAGCTCAGTGGTTCTGGCCCCTGCCTCGCAAGCACAAGGACCCAAGTTCAATCCCCAGTACCAAAAAAACCCCTCCAAACTCTAATAAATCAAAAACATTTTCACTTATTTGTTGACTTTGGTTTTATCCCCATGTATTGGGAAGCTTAAAGGATAAAAGTTTCAAAACCCTAATTTTTAAAAATATATTTTTCGTATCATTACCACAACAAGCGTTTTTATTTTCCAATGCAATTTAAAGTCTTGTACATTTAACATTTAATTGTTCCAATTATATTTATGGATAATAGAGAAATTCTAAAAGCTTCATAAATTAGAAAAAACCCCATAATTATCTGTGACAAAAAGCTTGTTACTTTAATATGTGATTTATTATCTGAAACATTTAATAAAACTGGGTGTGGCATTTTTTTTGGTAATCCACAAGAAACTCTTTATCAATAAGAAAGAAGTAGTTTCTCTTTAGACAAAATAATAATCAGTGACTCTTACCCTGGCAAAGAGAAAGACAAATGTACCAGTTCCACCAATCTCATGCAGAATTCCTTGAATAGTATTACATTCTGTAGGCTGGAGGCTCTTTAGATGGGGAGGTTCTAGTAAGATGCTCTGAACTTCTTTTGAGCTGAAGGGTCTTTGAGAGAGCTGTGTTTTCACGTGACTCTTGAGTCTAATCACTGGCTCATAGATGGTATACTGTGTAGGAAGGTACGTTGTATAAACAATTGAAAGACTTTCCTGAAACACAAATACTTGTTTTTAATACAGTCACAAAATGAAGTTTAAAATGTAAGTTATCAACTAGCAAAAAAAATTTCAAAGTGGAAAGACACTCAGCTAGTCTTTCTCTTTGTTTTAGAAAAGAGAGCTGTTACACTGAACAAAGATGAACATGAAAAGCAAGGCTGCTTCCCACAAAGGAAATGACGAGTGTCACTGGGCTGTGACCAACACCATAAACTACATCAAGACTGAGAAGGACACCATTTTGATCAATTTAGAATGAGCATGAAAGTGTACTTACTGTTACTACAAATAACAACTAACTCTTATGCCACACTTCTATACTAGGCACTGTTCTAAGGACTTAGGAATATGGGAACTCTGGATCAATTTACCCAAATTTTTGCCATGGATTTGGGTCAATTTACCCACATTTTTGTCCGTTCATGGGCTGGTTACTCATTTAAAAGTGACTCTAAACCATATTTTTCTGTTAGAATAAAATTCCATACTGTCAGCACAATTAAATAAAATTCAATAGAATTTTCAGTATTTCTCCCATGCAGAGTAGTTTCAATCAATTCCTAACTCCATGTCTAGCTTCTCTGAATTTCTTTGAAAACTAAGGTAAATTTTAAATGCAGAATGTACTTGGAAGTGATCTCAGTGGGAGCAGCTGCTGAGCTCAGGGTCAGGGAATACAGAGTCTGACATACTCTTAAAAATATTGTTGGACCGGGGATTCAGCTCAGTGGTTCCACCGCCTGCCTCGCAAGCACAAGGACCCAAATTCAATCCCCGGTACCAAAAGAAAAAAAGAGTATGTCAGACTAACAAGTGTTGTATTTTCGCTGCATCATAAAAAAACCTGTTCTTGAATTGTTAGTAGATACAAAAGAATTGACAAAATTACTGCAGAAATATAATTCCAAGGACAGATGGACATAAATTTAAAATATGAAACAAAGTTTGACAGAGGGACAGTGTTTCAAATTTGTTTCAGAATACTGTTAAGAACAAAATTTTTAAGTCTCTAGAAATATAATTCATTGCTAGTTATGCATTTCAATAACTACACCTATACAAAATTTACCTCAAAGACTTATAAAATTAAAACTTACAATTAAGAGGCCAATGTCCACATCTTTCTTGGTCATAAAAAGTTCTCTGATCTGTTCACATCGCAAAATGTCCTTATTTATATATTTGGAGTAGTCATTCACAGGCTTACCATATTTACATGGCATTATAGATGTATAATTGGGTCCACAAGCATACAGATAAAAGGCCTCTTGTGAACCAATCTTAGCTCCTGGATAGCAGAAAAATAAAGTTACTTATTTAAAATACTCAAGCAGAATTTTTCTTTTTGGTACCAGGGATCGAACTCGGGTCCTTGCACTTGCGCACCAAGTGGCAAAACCACTGAGGTAAATTCCTGGTCCCCTAGGATTTTTTTCTTCCCCCGCAGAATTTTTAACAAAAGACAAGAAAACAAGATATTTTTCTCAAAATTTTTTAGTTATTCATGTGACTGACAAAATTGATAAAACTTCCATTTTTAAATTAGTATAATGAGAAAATAACCTACACCAATCAGGATAAATGATGAATTAATGTGCATGAAGTTAATTGTGAAACTCTCAATAAAATAAAATTTCTGGGCCAGGGATTTAGCTCAGTGGTTTCGCTGCCTGCTATGCAAGCGCAAAGACCCGAGTTTGATCCCTAGTACCAAATAAATAAATAAAGTAAAATTAAGCCAAACAGGTTTTTGGTTTTGTTTTACTTTGCTTTTTAAATAAATGTAAACTATATCTTGGTAAATTCTGTTTTTAAATGATATGTGAATTGATATCTTTATTCTTCCTGATATAGTCAATAAACACTGTCTGAATGCCACTAATGCCAGGTTTAATGATATATTTTAAAAAATCAAGTTATTGCCGGGTGTGGTGGTGCATGCCTGTAATCCCAGGACTTGGGAGGCTGAGACAGGAGGATCACCATGAGTTCGAGGCCAGCCTGGGCTACATAGTGAGTTCAAGGCTAGCCTGAAATACACAGTGAGAACTTGTCTCAAAAAAACCCTAAAAATTGCATTACATTTTTTTCCCTAAAATTTGGTATGTTAATAGGACACACCTAAAATTATAAATAAAAGAGACAACCATTCTAAGTTTACTTGTTATGATACTTCATTTTCCAGGATTGTAAAATAATGTTGGCTTAATATATGTAGTGGGGGAGGGGAGGGAGATGCATTTCTATATTAAATGTACACATCAATTATGACACTTCTAGATTATAAAAGGTCAAAATACTTTAAAAAGGTATTAGAATCTTGGAAATATAGTACTTATTAAAAACAAATAATGGAACAGAGATCAACTTTTTAGCTATGTCAATTTACTTAGTTTAACACTTGTTAAGTGAAAGAAAAATTTGGAAATGCTTCAAAGGGGAAAATATACCATTAAAGAGGAGCAAATTTCCCAGGTCCCATTTTCCAGCCAATTGGAAAAATTCTTCTTGGGATGATAAACAATGGCCGATCATGCAAAATGTTTTATTGCTATCAGATGATAAACTTGTTTTTCTTGGAAGTGTAAAATCCAAAGTGACATCAGGCCTCCTACATTTAAAACAAAGTTATATCATTATTTCTGGGAGTACTAAAGTGTGTTTAAAGAATGAATGTTTAATGATGGGAGATTCTTGAACAATTTTTCTTGGTTTATTATAGGACGGTTGGTGACAAGAACAGAGACAGGGTTGATTCTTCAGCCTCTTTGGTCAGAGGTGCTGGTGGTCCACAAGCCATAGAAGTAGGAAGCAAAACAGATGCCTGGGCACACAGCAGGCCATGGGAAGCATGAACTGATAGTTGCTGCAAGTTTTCCTTTGTCATTTGACTTCTGCATCTATGCCTTCTTGGTTTACAGAAACCAACTAACCTACCCGCCACCTTACCATTTTGACAAACAATTCCTAAAATTTTATGTTTTTTATGAGGTTTTCAAAGACTAATCATAAAAAGAATTACTTCTCCAAGTTTTTCTCTGTCTAGCCACTGAAATACTAAAGATTAGAAAGCTTTTGATTAGTTTCTTTTTTTTTTTCATGGATAAAAGTTACAGAAATGCTTACAAAACAAAAGAGTACCCGCAAAGGTAAAGAAAGGCTTGCTCATACAGAGACACACACAAAAGCTGGGAGACTTCATCTTGTGAAGCTGCTGAGCGTTAAGCTCCATCCTTATTTTAGAATGTCTTAAATTCTGTAATAAGATAATGAGGATAACCTATCAAGACAAAGTCTAAATAAAGTTTGTGAATAAGATGAAGACTTAGAATAAGTCAAAATGGTTAGTTCTTTTGAGAAATTCAATTTTGTATATATTTATAAATTTAAAACTTTCTTTTAATATAAATTTAACTATTCTATAGGAATATTTTTTAATAAAGGAAAAATCTGAAATACACAACCTTTTTGGATCAAATAAATGGCCATGACCAAAACACTACTGCCACCTAGTGACATTATGACTTAATATGGTTTTTAAGGATAAAAACCTATTGCAAGATAAATGCAAAATAAATTCAACAAATAACAAGTATATATTATGTGCCACATATTTCTACCAGATTTGTGCACTGTTCATCAAGTAACAGTTAATATAAGATATTCGTAAGTCATTTTCAGAGTCTCATATTATTAAAGTGGCCTCAAAATATATTTTTTGTAGAAATTATAAATCTGAAAATGATAAAGACAAAATAAAATGAGTCAACAGGATACTTTTGGTCCTTAGTCACTTGTTCACTGCTCTGTAAACTAATGGAATCATTAACTTGTACCAAATGGCAAAAAATTTCCTTGGAAGGAATGTAGAAATAATTGGGAGGGTAAAGAAAGAATGATGTGTGAATCAAGTGACTACTATATACTCATTAACTTCAGAACTGCCCAGGATGACAACTTAATCTTTCACTCTAAGCGTGTCTAAAAACTAATTTATGATTCCTATACATGTCAGACGGCCTGATTCAGAGCAAGGCTGGGGGGCAGTAAAGCAAGGATTTAGAGTGTGAGCTCTCTTTGGGCACTGAGCCTTGGCTCAAGTTTTGGCTCTACTTTTTACTGGGTGTATGACTTGGACAAGCTGCCTCACCCTACTGTGGGTCTCTGCTGTCTCACATGTAAAACAGAGATAATACGATACCTACCTCATAGTGTTTGGGGAAGGATGATATGAGGTACTCTGTAAAGTGCTTAAAACAATACCTGGCACATGGTAAGAACTCAAGAATGAGGACAGAGTCCACATGGAGAAAGGCTGTCTACTCATAGCCCCACCATCAACTCCCATTGATTCTTCAAAACAATTTACTGATTGGCTACAGCTGCCATTCAGGTCTTGGGCAGGTGTGAAGACTGAGAACTTTCCAGTTGGCATTTTATTTGGAATATGAAAAATTAGGCTTCAATTATATATTTTCTTAACTGGATAAAACAAAACTGAACTCTTAATTTCCAAAGCCTGTTCTTTCCTGTGGCAGCCACCATGTACTGGCTGCCCCAAAGCCATTTGCAAGCCCCTTCTCCCCTGCCTTCCTCTATTATTGAAGCCTGAAAGCTGTAAGGAGTAACACCTACATCCTCCTATAGTAATGCCTGGCACACGGTGATTCCTGAAAAAGTATGCGATGAATTAATGAATGAGAATAGGTTAATTTGTGCTAAATGTATGTTATGTCCGTGGTCTAATCTACTCTGAATGATTCTTGAGAGAATTAGGAAATAATGCATATAAAGCACTTAGTCAATTAATTTGAATAATTCCTTGTGGATTCATTTTTATAACAGATGGGCTTAAGGGACATAATTATAGATTCTCTTCCTTGATCTAATAGGCATTATACACAAATGTCTAAATGTCCAGGTTTTCTGCATGCTTCTCAAACTCAAATACAGTCTCCAATCAGTATCTACAGGATTGGCTCCAGAAATCCCCACCCCCTCACCCCACTGCAGATGCTTACATAACGTGGCATATTTGCACAAAACCTACACATAGTCTCCTGTAACTTTAAATCACCTCTAGATTACTTATGCCTAATACAATATAAATGCTTTGTAAATTGTTACACTGTATTGTTTAGGAAATAATAATTTTAAAAGCGTACATGTTCATGATAGACGCCAACTTTTTTTCCTTCAATGTTTTCAGTCAGAAGTTGGTTGAACCCTCAGATGCAGAACCCATAGTTACAGTGGGCTAACTGTATTAATTATCAACAGTTATGTCTATGGTAGATATATTTTGCATGATAGTGATAAATAGAAAAAATCCAAATCTGATATAAATTCCTATGTTAATAAGTAAATTTTTCTTACAGTTTTCTGTAATGTTTCAGGAACTACAACAGACTAAACTTAAAATTGTAACCGCAATTAATAAATATTTTCTAAAACTCCTTCATACCTCTGTCCAGAGACCCATATGGAGATTTTGCCATGGACATTCTTTTTTCCTTGGGGTTGTTGTAAGTAGGTGAGTACTAAATGTTGCCATTTGGTTGGGAGGAAAATATTCTCCTGTGATTCAACCTGTGCTAGTAAAACAGCTTTCATGTCATCATTTGAATCCGTACACATACTGGAGATAAAGAAAAAAGAGCACAGACTTAAAACATCAAAGTTCTGACCTCAGTTTTTAACAGACAGCAACTATAACTCTAAATATTTAACTGAGATTAAAAATCACTTCTATTTTAAACTGACTTAAAAGCCAGCAATTCTTTGTTTTATGGCATAACTTGCTTGGTTATTTTATTCTATTACTCAATTTATGAGATAAAATAGATTAGGCTTATTGGCTAGTAATATAATTTCCAGAAGTCAATTTGTAAAAAAAATTTATAAAACTTTTTCTATTTAGTCATACCTTTTTAGATATTACAATGTAATATATGGTTCATATAAAAATTAATACATATTCTTATAAATATAAATACTAGAAGATATTAGTGCTCTAACCTACTTTGAAAGATTATTGCAGTGAAGAGATAATGTATATAAAGAATCTAGTAGTATTTATAACATTTAGAAACCATATATTCTTAAATAACATACTAGTTTTAGTTTGGAGTTTTATATCATACTATTCAAACATTAGTACAACTAAAACACATATCTATACTTAATAAAAAAGACAGTAAAAAGGATAAGACAGCAAGGAGAATGTAAGCTTATTAGATAATAGCTATTAAATATATAATCTATATGGAAAATACATCTGCTAACAACACCTGAAGACTACAAGTTTTCTGTCTTCAAAATAGTTTTCTATTTCTACTGAATAAAACATATTCTACTGAATATGTATTTGATCCAAAATCTAATAGAATATTAACATCATCTAGAATTTACTTACAGATTTTTGGGTAGAATGATACACTACTTTTTCTAAAGTGGTATTAATAACTTATAATGTATTTTATTTTCTAAATAAAATCTTTCTCTTCAAGGCCTGCTCCCCTTGGTGAACAAAGGAGCAGGCGCATGGAAATAATTTTCCAGTATTTGTTCACTAGGGGGACCTCAACAGTTTTCGTCTTACAACAGACTGACCCAATAGTTTTCATAGCCTTATAAAAGACTTACATCAATAAATACTACTTAAATATATTATTGTACTATGTTTACAACACTTGTCATCAAAGGGATAAATTTTAAATATGTTATTATGGTATGTTTACACTGGTCGTTTTGTTTGGTTTTTGGGGGTTTTTGGTACCAGGGATCGAACTCGGGTCCTTGCACTTGCAGGGCAGGCGGCGGAACCACTGAGCTAAATCCCTGGCCCTACATTGGTCATTTTCATTCTTTTTTTTTTTTTTTTTCAGTACCAGGGATTGAACTCAGGACCTTGTGCTTACTAGGCAGGTGCAGTGCCACTGAGCTAAATCCCCAGTCCTATTGGTCATTTTCAAAGGACTAAATTTCCTGTAAAAAACAACAATAACAAGGTTTTATTTTTTCTGATGTACTAAATATATTTATACTTTCTGACTGTACAGGTTTTCTAATATGTTGTTTATGATAATAACCTCTTTCTGATTCAGGTATTTGCTTTTTCATACACTCCAGCTATTTATGATAACAGGTACATTTATGGGCTGAAATATTTTCTTTAGATGGTATCCTATCAAGATAATAATTTAGATAAAAACTTTTGGTGTTTTTAATGAGTATATTTAACAATGGCTATTTTATATCAAGATGGACTTTTAAATATGTTACAAAGGTAAGGTCATCATGATTATCATGTTAAAATATTATTTATGACTCTTTTTCTGTTAATATTCTACAGGAATTCAACTACTAGAACAACCATGACTGAAAACAATAACGGTTCTCTATATTTTAAATTTCAAAATGCTTGCTATTCAGGTAAAACTGTAACAGTTAAGTTCATTACTCTTGTTACAATGCTAATGCTACTGATCTTCTCTTCTGGGTGTTCAACAACTTAAAGTTTGGACACCAAAACTAGAAAGGTAACTGGGCCATGAGGACAGCCAATATTTTGGCCCTGGCCCCTCAAGGTCAACAAAGATCCAGGACATGAGGGAACCTTCTCTACAGGATCCTACATTTTTGGTAAGTCTCTCAACCTCCTGAACAGGGAGATTGCTGGACACCAGAGGACAATATACTGTGTGCCAAAGAACGGTCATCAAGAAAAAAAATCTCCCACGCTTTCACTAAAAACAACTTGGTCAAGTAAGGCCATGACTCATCCTGATGGCTGACACTGACAGAGGAGCAGAGAGGCTCTATGCATGGTTCCAAAGTAATGGCCTGGGGAGACTTAACTGACCTTGATAGCAAGAGGTTCATATTGATTGACACAGGTCTCACTTTAACTTGGTCTTAAACACGCCGCAGAAAAAATAACCAAAAGAGGTATAAAATAATGACATAATAATAAAGCTAGACTTCAGAGAAATTAAGACATAGCCTATCCATAAAAATCTTTTGGTTCACTCATGACACAGCCATTAAAAAAAAAAACTTGGGGGGACTAAATAGAAGGGGAAAATCATTAATTAGCTACAAGTGTGTATAGACTCTTTTCAGAAAAATTAAAATAAGCTCTTTGCAGGTGTCCAATCTTAGAAACCACTGGTCTCCAGATCTCTCCTTTTAGATAAGTGTTTTTCTGATTCTGTAATAACTAATTAACTATCATGTAGTAATCAAAAAAAACACATAAAGTAAGAGTATTGGGAGAAGATCACCTGGTTGTCAGCCACAGTCAGGATAAGTTCTACACTGAGCAGCTACAAGATTTATTCCTCTTAAAATAATGTACACCCTTGTTCTCTGTTTATGATGCCTCTTCTCTCATTGTGCTCATATTTTCTCGATACCTACCTGTGTCTGAAAAGATCAAGTCTTTTATGTTACACTTGATCTCCTTAAGTTGGCCAGTGTCTTGTTGAGGTTATCAGTTCTCTTTATTTTTAAATATATCTAGGAGGCCTCCAAAAACTGAGAGATACTGGAATAAAACTGTCCTTTATACAACTATTCCATGGCTTTGCTGGAACTATCAACCTAAAATGTGTTTTTATGGCCTTGAATTTAAAGGACAAGTCAGGTTCATAGTAACACTACACTCACTGGTATGTTGGCCTCCAAAAGACATTTGCTGTTACATGCACCTTTTATATCCCAAAGAAAGATTACAGAGATTATTAAGATTATATAAATTGTGTTTATCACTTTTCCACTCATTCTCTAAGAGCAAGGACACGACACATGGGCCCTTAGATCATGAGCTATGATCTCTTATTTCTATAACAGTCTCTTATTTCTTTAACAGATGAGCCCCTAAACATCCAGCTGTTTCTGTAAGACCTATGTAAATAATGAGAGAAATTACACATCAAATGAGGGAAAGACTTAAGACTCAATGGGCCAGATACACCCCTCAAGGTGCTAATCAATGGTGGGATACGTTTGGCTCCTGGAGCTCATGGCTCCCCTGGCTATTACCGCTCTTGGGACTTCTCATTATTATCTGTCTGATCCTCTGCTTTGGACCGTGCTTGTTTCGCTGTTTTCAAAATTTCTTGCAGGAACGCATGAGGGCATTTACCAACCAGTCATGGAACTCATCATGGTGGGCTACCAGCCACTGAGGCAGAGGGAAAAAGCCCCCACCTACTGCTCCCCCAATCAGATCCAGGTTTAGCACTAACCTTTACCACTTTGTCAGCTTGAAGCAGTTCCAGAAGAGACCTTTGCCCAACAACCATAGAACAAGAGCCTGGAATGATAGATTTCCCTTCAATTTAGGGTGGCTGCTGTATATAATAGCTACCTTCTTCTTCCCAACATCCCTCTACTCCTACCAAAAGAGTAACCTAATACTTGCTGGCCTCCTAACAGCTAGTGACATCACAGGCTCCTCCAGTCCCTAGCCACTACCTCACTCAACCCCACCCGAGCTCCTATAAAAAGCACTCCCTGTTCTGGCCATATAGCTTTTGTCTCTCCTTTGTTCAGAGACAGCCCAGCAGATCATCCCTGCAATAAATGCTTGTGGCCTGGAAAAAAAAAAATCTCTTTTGTTATAATTATCTTTATTAGCTGATTTCACATTAGTACATCTTAAATTATTTAAATGCATAATCTATTCATTAGTAAACATAATCAATACCGAAAGATAAAAGTGCCATTATGTGGATCAGCCCACACTTGAATCATCAATGCTTTGGATCCCAGTGAAATTAAATGAAGACAGCCTTCTTCTATGAGCCTTTCACCAGGATTTATGTACTCTGTACCCTCTGGTCTGTCACTCCCTATGAGAAAAAGATATTAGAATGGTTGGTAAACAGTTCATAAAAACGAAGCAAAGAAAAACAATACAAAGCACAGTGGTTCCTCTGTAGCAGAATATTTACACAGAATGTCTGAAGCTGACCTTTTCCAAACAACATTTTCAAAGTTTACATGTTAACTCTAAAAGAGCAAAAAGGATGAAAAATAGTGATTAAGTGCTTTAGAAATTATTAAATATTTTAAAATATATAATAACTAAGGGCAATTATGGGCATGAGTGCTGTGATGCCACTGTGATGACTTACAACAATCTATATCAAACTGCTTTTATCAATGGGGCACTATAACATCACTGACCCCGGTCCAGGGAGCACATACCATTGTCACATGCTACATACTACCAAAATTCACTATGTAATTATCACAGTGGGATGATTTTTTTTAAAAATGATCATATTAAAACTACAGTTAGAAAATGACAGGGTTTGAATATAGTTTGAATATAGTCATCGTTTAGACTGCTGATCTTTGAATGGAATTGCTAAGTGATTCTGAAACTCTACATTATGTTATAGGCTTTAGGCTCTCTGCTTATTTGACCTGCCTCTTCTTTCTCACCACTTAGACTCTGCACTAACTGAGTATGTGTGATGAGCTTCTTGTTACTTTATGTATGTTATTTTATGTAAAGCTATATTAGGATACACCAAAGTACAAAATGCATGGCCAAAGGTTCAGACTTTCAGAGGAGATGAAAATTACTAGTTAGTAGATTTTACAGCTATAAGTTGCCATTCACCAACAGGTAAAACTATCACCAATTTTTAAGAATACCCCCCTAGCAATGAAAACAGTCCTATAAAAGAAGTAAAGGGCACTGATTTTGAGAACTACTGCCTATAAGATGTATAGAGAACTCATATCTGTTGTGATATTTTAAAATATTTCCAGGCCAAATCTGAACTATACAAATAAAAGGATACAACAAATACCATTGTGAACCTGCAGACTAGGAATATTATTAAGTATTTCTTAAGCTAGTGCTCATAACAATCTTACAAGGTAAATATTATTGTCCCAATTTGGGGAGTGGCAGAACTGAGGTGTTGAAGTACTAAATAATGTGCACAAAGACATGTACATAGTTTAATGTCAAAACATGGGATGTCACTACAATATGTTCTTCATTTCTATTCCAAAATTATGTGTCTATTTATTTTTAAATGTTCTTTTTAAGTGTTCATGCAAAACCATATTCCTGCAATATATGCTTTAAAATACATTTTCAATATTAAAACTTTAAAAAATATTAAAACTTAAAAAATATTTTCCAATTGTTACTTTTCTTAATCATTAGTATAGATTCATTTATTTTATAATACACTGCTTACATTGGGATTATTCTCATTAAAATATGAGAAAGCAATCTGCTTAGCTTATAGGAGAATATAAGCTCTGGAATTAAAAACAAGTGGGTTTAAGTCCCTATTCACCACTTCCCAGCTATGTGACTGGGTCATGCTGCTTAGTGTCATCAACAAGTACAGACAGTATGAGCACTTATTTACTCGCTTATAGCTGAGGTTAGAAATGTATTCAAAAGAACTGAACAAAGTGATACACAGACAAAGGAACTCAATGCCTGTTAAAAAGGAACATCATCAATACCATCACCTGTGGTATGATTTCAGAGTTGTCACTGGTAGGTGGCAAAATCCAATCCACAGAAGATTCTATAACTACTTGAAACATTTCAAATCATCTGCCTCAATCTTTGAAAAAGTTTAGCACCCCTTAAGTCTATATTGGGACTTGAGGATTGTATCTGGTTAGACCCTTGGCATAATGACGAGGGAAAGATTCTGCAAATTGGGGCTGTAGACGCTGAACCAAAAGACAATAATCTCTTTTTAAAAAGTTCATGTTATTTAGTCTCTTTTTACAAGGGTAAGATTTAATCACATACTAATATGAAATATGTATCTGTACTAGTGGGGATCAATAGGCTTGTTTTATGTATGAATGTCTGAAAATTAAGAAATATTATCTTAGCTCCATAGATGAGTTTAATTTAGATTTATTTAATTCAGAGACTATAAATAACATATACACCACTGTATGGTACCTAATAAGTTTGAAAAAAAGTTTAGCTTCCTAAGGTAACCTATAAAAGTACACAAGGGGGCCGGGAATTTAGCTCAGTGGTGCCGTGCCTGCCTCACATGCACAAGGTCCTGAGTTTGATCCCTGGTACTGCTGAAAAAAAAAAGTACACAAGCATTATGCCACGTTAATAACATGGAAAGTGTCTGCTGAAAGTGGATTCAGACTCCAACTGTGGACATCAGACAATAATTTCCATCATTTCAATCTTGATGACTTCATTAGGGATCTTCCTGTCCACATCACAGTAAGTGGAGACCTGAAACAGAGGCTCCATGGGCAGGTGAGGTTTGTGGAATGAAGAGTTACTGAAAATTACACTTCTACGTATGCGTAAAACTCTCACCATCTGTCTGATCTGGACATTTTATTCATTCCTGAGACCTTAAGAATGATCCTGTTTATTTGACTTCCACCACCATAACTGCTTTTTAATGAACAGTTTCTTTTGCCCAAAACAAGATGAAGTTCCAAGGCAGCATAACAGCAATTCCTCAGACACAGAAGGACTGGAATGAACTTTGCTCTAACTCTGGAGAATGACTGATACATTTAAAGGTTCTGTGACAGAACTAGGGGAGGGCCACTGAGGTAAGACACAGCAAGAGGAGAACTTGAAAAAAGTGAGAAAGAGGATGGAATGGGGTTGTGTAATAGGGGCTGGGAACAGAGCATACAGAAGAGTGGCTGTGGGATTTTATCTTTTCCTCTTCTAACATCACTAGGGACCCTAATCAAGTAATGGGACCAAAAAAAAGGCAGGAAATGGGATTATGACCCCAGCAGCCATTGTATATGTAGTGTAACCACACTTTCACCCTAAAGACAAAGTACAGGAGGAAATGGAGATTGCAAGGCTTTATGACAACTCAGACTTTGGTAATTCAGAACCTGCCACCATTAAGGGTTTTTAAAGTAAAGAACATGATAAGAGCTAGTTAGAACATTGCTATAGCATTCCACTGCTCACAGCCCAGAGGTAGGGGCTTCCGGGCCACCATTCCACTGCTCTCAGCCCAGAGGTAAGGGCTTCCGGACTGCGGTTCCCCAGCTCCCAACCCAGAGGAAGGGGCTTCCGGGCTGCCATTCCACCACTCTCAGTGCAGAGGAGGTGAGCCATGCAGATGCCAACAGCACCCCCCCACACACCATCGACATGAGAAAACACATAAACAAGTCTCAAAAGCAGACTTCCAGATCACCTACAGTAACCCAAAAGGAAAAGGAGATGGAACACTCTGATACTCAACCACCTGGACTCCCTGAACTGGTAACAAAAGAGGATCTGGGAAAAATGAAATCAGAAATAATTTCTCACATAACAGCAGAGATTGTGTCCACAGTACAAGACATGATAATAAATCTAGAGAGGACACAGATAAAAAAATAGAGGAGCTGAGGAACATGATGGAATCCCAACACAGGAAACAAATGGAATCCATAAAAAAGATACAAACAGATTTCCAGGAGATTAAAAACTCCACTGAAATGAGCCAATGAGTGAGGACAGAATGAGCCAACGTGAGGACAGAATTTCAGATACAGAAGATAAGATTGCAATTAGTGAGGAGGAAAAGAAATATTGCTTCAAAATTGTAAGGGACCATGATAAATCAATCCAACAGCTGCTAGAAGATGAAAAGAAGAATAACATAAGACTGATCAGAGTCAGCGAAGAAACAGGAGAGAGTGCAGATGACATAAAAGACCTGTTCACAGAAGTAATGGCAGAAAACTTCCGAAGCAGGGAAAAAGAATTTGACATACAGATAAGTGAGGAATATAGGACTCCAACTAGCCTTGATCAAAAAAACCTACACAAAGGCATATAATTGTTAAGATTCCACAAACCCAACAGAAAAACAAAGTTCTACAAACAGAGAAAAGAAATAAATCAAAACAAAGGAAAGTCCATCAGAATCACAGCAGACTTCTCAACGCAAACCCTCAAGGCAAGAAGACCTTGGAGTGACATATTCCAAGGCCTAAAGGAAAACAGCCTCCAACCCAGATTGAT